GGGTTCTAACTGGATACTCTCACTCATCACATACTCAAAAGCATAACACATATAACAACGAGTCCTAGGCTAAGGCATCATAAATCAGGCCACTCTAGTCCTAACATATGAAATACCTAGCCTGTCTCTAGCATGCAATAATATCTCATAAAGTGCATCATAAATATCTCATAACACAAAATAAGGGTATTTTGGGAAATCACCGTTCGGGCTCTGGCTGATTGTACACACTGCTCTTTCTTGCTTCCTCTTTGAACCCTTATTCATTTTTAGAAAATTATTTCCTTAAAACTTTTCTTACTTCCTCACTTTGAGTCCAGATTTACCCGAAGGCGCATCCGAATCCCTCAAACCAAGGCTCTGATACCAACTTGTAACACCATAAATTTCAAGACAAATTTTTCATTTAAAATAATCATTTTACTCTTAGAAACACTTGTTTAAAATCTTATTCATAGTCGATTTACAAAACATAACTCCATTTTCACTTGCATAGAAAACCAGGATCCTCCAAAATATGACTCTTTCTCTGGTGTGTACAATCAAGCCGGTGCCGTCCCGTGATACTGAAAGAAACCTGAAAAACATCAAACAAAACACTGTAAGCACGAAGCTTAGTGAGTTCTCCAAAATACCACACATAACACATATTAGCCACTCAAGGCTATAACTCTATGGGTCCGTGCACCCAAACTCTGTGAACCCTCAGGTTCTAACTTTGGGAACCTTCCGGTTCCAACTCTATAAACATGCACGACATAAATCACATAGAAATAATGCAGTACAACACATCATGTACATATAGCATACAAATACTCTAATCTCCTAACTCTGGTTACCTACTCAAGGTAAAGTATAGTGAGAAGACTCACCTGGCAAGCAGGAAGCAGATATCCCCACACTTGAATCTCGAACTCGCCACCGCCTAACATGTAAGGCAAATACTCTCATGAATATAACTCTCGAGACTAGAATAAATCCTCTCATAACACCCTATTATGGTTAAAAGACTATTTTACCTCTCTCTTGGCCCAAAGTCCACATCGCTCACCAAACCCTAAAAGTCAACGGCCAAACCTTGGTCGAAATCAAAGTCCTTAGTCTAAGTCAACCCCTGACTAACCCTACTCGCCGAGTCAACCCTGTGACTCGTCGAGTTCCCATAATCAGAACTTCATTCAATCTGCGACCTAACTCGCCGAGTCACCCCGAGACTCGCCGAGTCCAACAACTCTGAGTCCACTCGCACTCGACTCACCGAGTCATCCCTCGACTCACCGATTCTCGGCTCAACCAGAGAATATTCGGGACTCTTCGACAAGACTCGTCGAGTCCAAGGCTATCTTCAACCTACTCGCCGAGTTGTTCTTCCAACTCGTCGAGTTCCAGGCCATCTTCAAGCAACTCGTCGAGTCGACCCATGTGACTCGCCGAGTACCACCGTTCTGAATCCATTCAGAAGCACTCCAGGCCATGCAATTGATCGAAAACATAGATCTAGCCTCCAACCCATCTTATGTATAAATATATAAATAAGATTTGAAGGACTTAGGACTAATGAACTATCTTATTTCCTTTTTCCTTGTTTGGATGTGGGGTTAAGGTTGTTTTATTTGTCCGAAGGTCGTTTCCTTCTTAATTATATATATTATACAAATGTCACTCATTTTGGTATCATTGCCTATGTATCAGGCTGAGCAAAGGTGTTCATCCATGAGAAATCATGTTAACCAGATAGAACATATAAATTATAATAGGTATAATTTATGATTCAAAACTAAATATACAAGTATGATTCACATTCCAAGGAAAGTACCAAAACTTATTTAACTATACCAGGATAGGTATAATGCCTTTAATATACGGATAACATATTAAAAAAAGTAAAGATACATCATACCGGGTTTGCATTAACAAAGGTACGATACAAAGTACCAGGATTAGCAATCACGGGGTAACAATACATCATACCGGGTTTGCATTAACAAAGGTACGATACAAAGTACTAGGGTTAGCAATCACGGGGTAACAATACATCATACCGGGTTTGCATTAACAAAGGTACGATACAAAGTACTAGGGTTAGCAATCACGGGGTAACAATACATCATACCGGGTTTGCATTAACAAAGGTACGATACAAAGTACCAGGGTTAGCAATCACGGGGTAACAATACATCGTAAATCTCGTTGAAACAATAAATTTGTGAGACCCTTCACGGTGTACTTATCTAAGTACGACTTTAAGTCCTGACCTATTAACCAAAATCTCTTGTAGGGAGAGCGTGAATTTGTGTATAGATCTATATGGGACTGACAATCACGCACCTCTACTGTTCGCTACAGTTTGGCCGGCAGGCCTAGGGTGTTAAATATCATTCCATTTCGACACTTGAAGAACGTCGTTGCAGGCACTACTAGAAAAAAGGCCTTTTACGACGCTCATTGCGCGTCGTAAAACGCTCAGACGACGCGCAAATGCGTGTCAAGGAAGGCCATGTCATAAAGAGAGACGACGCGCATTTACGATGCTCATTTACGACACGCAATTACGACGCGCGTTTACGACACGCAATGCGTATCAAGGAAGGCCCTGTCATAAAGGAAGACGACACGCATTCGCGTGTCATAACCTTACGACGCGCGTGTTAATGACACGCATTGCATATCAAGAAAGACCCTGTCAAGAAAGGCCATGTCACAAATGAAGATGACACACATTTTTGCGTATCATAATTTTAAATGTTAAAAAAATTATTATTTATAGATTTACTAATTTTCAAATTAAATTTGTGTTTAATATCTCATAATAGAAAATAAAATATCATATACAAAAAATACAATCTATTACATAAAATTTAATATCATACAAATAATCGTTCCATGGAAAGATAAAACAAATTAATAAAGTTGTTACAAAAATTTACAAACTAATTAGATACAAGAAATATAAAAAATAATATACCCTCAAATGCTTTTCAAAGTCTAATCTCCATGTCAGCTCTTCAACTCACTTCTCTAGTTTGTCCTTAGCTTCTCTAAGGGCTCCAGCATCTCTTCAACTCACTTCTCTAGTTTTTCCTTTACCTGACAAGCCATTTGTTCAAGGAAGCAAGCCATTTTTTCCAAAAGATTTCCAAGTTATAGTCGTGTGTAATGTAATTACTTTACTATATTGTATTTTAAAAAAAATGGGGATTTACATTTACTTACCAGTTCCCAAAATCGGAAGTAACGCCATATGAGGAAAATTTTGAGCCACATGAAGTTTAGGACCTATATGTGGTAAATGATGCAGGCAACATAAGACAGTGAATTTATGTATGAATAAGTGAGCAGGTTGTGAAAATAAGTCTCACCCCATATCCAATAATGAAGAGAGACATAAGGATTATGATCTGAGGAATAGTAGTCATACTGAAAGCTTATCATGCGCAAAACAACTGCCAGAAAGGAATAAAAGGAAATTGTGTGAGAAAAGAAAAAAGTAGCTCAAATAAGGTCATTGACTATAAAAAGGAAATGGAAGTGTTATGCTATTTCTGTGGCATTTTTGGTAAAAATAAAGAAATCCAAATGTTCTTTGTTATGGAAGTAGCAATAAGCACAAGCATGTGGAATTTCTAAAAGTGTATAGAGCTAGAAAGAGGCAGATAGAGAGAGAGAGAGAGGTAATACCAAAGTTAAAGCAGATATGCCATCTAAAGGTACCCCTAAATTTGTCCAAGTAAGCTCAATGGTCTCTACAAGTGCATTCCCAAAATAAATACAAATCCATACATGATAACACAGCACAGAGTGATTAAAATTTTAAATGAAGCTACAAATGAGAAATTAACCCACCCAAAACTGGAAAATGAGTATCCCTCATAAACACGTTTACAAAGAAGAAATGATAAGTTTAAGACCCAAAGTATAAATGCGAAGTATTTTGTGCGTCCAAAAGGTTAGCTACCTCCCAAATAGATATAAGGGTAAAATGGTCATTTTCAAATTCTTTTAAATTAAACCACCATATCCATGGTAATCAGCAAAGCATTGGGACCTAGATTTTTTTTATATTATAATAAGTAAATACAATATATAGTTCTGACTCTAGAAGGCCAAACCAAAGAAACCTTATTCATAAACCCCTGTACTAACATCTATCTAGAAGAAAATGCCCAAAGAAAAACCTTCCTTTGACCAACAAACCCCAATATCAATCAATGATCAGTAATTCAACGTACCTTTTTTTTAGCAGAACCGATCTTCATCTCCATGAGCATATCATCAGATCTTTCTTTGTTCTTCTTTTGTTATGCAGAAGAAACATTATTAGGCCCTGCACCAGTGTTGCCCACCAACTTCATTAACTCTTTGTCGTTGTTGAAATACCTAGCTTCTTTCTTGGTCAACACATCCAGTAAAAAAGAACAAATGTTCAAAGAACATATATTCTTCCATGGCATCTTCATTATGCATGGCATGTGGAGATTGAAATAACTATACAAATAAAAGCACCGCATAAGATCAAGAAACAGTAAAAAAGAACAAATGTTCAAATAAAAACAAAAATTAAGTATCTGAGGCACCTTCCATATGGGTCCAGTCACTACTATCCAAGCACTTGACAAGGGTATGCAAAAACTTCATTACCAACCACAATTTATTCGATTACCAAGGGAATTTTGGTTGGGTAGCTCTGCATCAACAAATATGATTTATTACAAAAAGGAATCAATCAACAATGATTAGAAAAATATTGAAATAGATAATTGATTACCTGTATTAGTTTTAGGGCTTGTGTTCCGTTTCTCTTATGCATTTTATACATGAGATTCCTCCCAAATTAAGAGATTCGTGAAGATACTTTGAAACAACAAATCCAAAGTGAACAGGCTGCAATAATTTTTTTTAAATAGTAAAATTGGTGAGCAGAAAAGATCAAGTTCTTGGAGATTTCAAAAATATCAAATTTGAGAATTTGCAATGCTTAATGGCCATTGTTCATCGTCAATCTAGAATTTGCAATGTTCATTCAACGCAGTGCTAAGAACCTCAATATTAAACGCCTCTGTTGACTTCAAATTTCCACCCGATGCAGCAGCTGCAGATGCCATTACTGCAGGAATGTTGGCAGTTTTTTTACCCTTCCAACAATCCGTTTTCCCTGTTCCTATTTTTATTTCAGATAAAAGAGAGACAACGTCTGTAGTGGGCTGTGCTTTTTGCCATGTGTTTGCTTTACAAAGTTGCTCCTGAAATGTTTATGTTTGGACACAGTCAGTTTGTTAGACTTAATAAACTACAACAAAGTGAACCTTTTGAGACTACAGGCTTGTTTCTTTTTTTACTTAAACTGGACAGAATGACTTAACGAGTTAAATTTAAAATTGATGAATATTGTGAAATTTGTTTTTTTGGAATACAAGGGTAATATGGTCATTAAGTCTCATTTAAAAGGCTTGTTCAGTCTAGAATATAAGGGTAATATGGTCATTAACGTCACAAACCTGAAGAAGACCTTGGGTGGTGCATGGAGCATAGGATAGCGAATCAACAATCCACTCCTTGACAACGCTTTGGTACAAAGAGCGAACAGAAGCTACTGAAGCAGGATCATTCGCGAGAGATCAAGGTGGATCACCATTCACAGAGAACAAAAGAGAATCCAAACAAGATGATTTCCACAGAATCTGCACCCAATAGAATGTTACTTAAAGTAAAGGGCAAATCATTTACTCTTTTTACCATTATAGGTAATGTAATTTATTTTTTACAGGAGATAGCATATAAAAGCTCATAAATTTGTAATACAGGTCAACAGTTTACCTGTGGAAATCTCTCTCTCAATTGAGACAACAGATTAACAGATACATCCCGAATGTGTTCTTCTTAACAGCAAACTCTTTATGAGAAAACAAGCATGGACAACCAGAGTTGACTCTCTGACCTCAGCAGCATCTCCTGTCTCGCATATTTGAGCCTCCTGCATCCATTACAAGATTCACCTAACATTCCACACATAAAAATAAAAATGCATAATATAAAGGAATTCATAAGAAAAAGAATCACCAGCCATGATAATGCAGTCTCAAAAGCACGATGAACAATGGCCATTAAGCATTGCAAGACAGCTGGCATAAGATTTGGGTTCATTCACGTGGAATCTTTCCAGTATGTTACATTTTCAGGTGGAATCACAACCAAAAACCTAAAAGACTTCATCATTACTAGCAAGTTCCTGCTACTTCCATGATCAAATAAGCAGTAATAGTGTAATAAAGCAACAAATTTATCCTCATTAGAATTGACAAAAACTTTAGTTAACAGGTGAAATCATAAACACAAGTTCATAAGTACAAGTCAACAACTTTGACTGGAATATTATATTGAAATGTCTACATACAATTTAGGATGAACACGTTTTGGAGGGATGAGCTATAATTGCAACAAATACTCATACAAAAGGTAATTATGCATTGTTTCAGCAACAATGTTTGCAACCTGTACATATTTTTCATAGATAGTAAGTTCAAGTCTCCTCATTAGATTTGACAAAAACTTAAGTTAACAGGTGAGTGAATTGGACTATGTTTTAAAAAAGTTGTTTGAAGAAAGCTATCCTAATTTTCGTTGCTATCCTAATTCTCAGGATTTCGCCAAACTGTTTGAAGAAAGCTGCATAAACAGTGGAATAATTGAATCAACTTCAAGTTATAATATATTTCCATAGAGCTGCTGCAAAAGACTCAACCCTGTCATTGTACAAGCTTTTATTCCCACATGCTAATATCATATCAAAAAACAAATATATTTATTTACTACGCTACGCATAAAAAATAAATACCATCATAAACAGGATATAAATTTACTAAAATTATTTGGCATTTCCCCATGGTCTATAGCAACAACACCACCTTGTTGATTTTCTGCGGCTACACGTATCATCATGTTGAAAAGCAAACCACCTGCATGAAAATTACACTTGACTCTCTTTCAGGCGTCCCATTGTTGAAAGCAAACCACATGCATGAAAATCAAGAAATGAGACTTTCTTTCCCTAACTTTTTACGAATTTGCCCTTACCTAACAAATTGTGCAGAAACTAAGTTCTTGATCAGCAGATGAAACAACTTCCAACTTAGAAGACATAAATACCCTTGTTTACAAATAACCTAAAATAAAATCCTCTGATAACCCTGATCCAGCATTCCTAATCTGCTCACCTAATGCAAGAAGCTCCTGCATATACACAAAAGGTCAATTTCGTAATTTGACTAAAAAAGAAGCCAATCTTTGTATACTCATAAGACATATGATCAATATCCATACGCATATCTCTATGATGATCAACTCTTCATCCATAATTAGAAGTATCAAGCATTGCAACACCCTGTTATTAGAAAAAAAATTAATAAAAGGAATTTCATTTTCTTGCATGATTTGATTATGAAGAGAGTAATATTTAATAATAATAATTAACATCTTCAGGAAGAACTCTTAAATGTGGAAAGTCATGTGGTCTTTCCAAGCTCGGTTAGAAGAGGGGTTTATGTAGAAGCTAGTGTTTATAAAAATCCACAGTTCCATTGAAGGAAAAAAGTTAGAGCATCAATAGAGATGAAGATTGAAACCTGCTTGAGATCTGGTCGAGATAAATTGGACACGACAAAGAAATTCAACGCACTGTTCTTCAAGGTCAAATAAATTGAGAAGATGGTCTGATTCACCTGTCGTTCAATGAAATGATTCAAACAGAAGCCCTAATTTTAAAAGACGATAGTTATACTAAAAAAAGAGTCAACATGAGAAGTATCAAGAGGTTCACATTACCTTGGAGACGACTTGAGAAGTATTAATCAAAAGTTTCAAGATCGCTCTGCTACAATGGTTCAATCCCGCATTTTGATTTCGCCACAACCACCACAATGGTTTTGACTAGCGATTCAGTATAGGGAATAAACCATACAAAAGCTATCAAATAACCTTGGAGTGAAATTAAAGAAACCGTGAAGATTTTAGTGGATAGATGAAGAGAGATTTTAGTGAAGAGATGAAGAGCTGGGGAGGCGACGAAATCGATTTCTAACTGAAAAGAAAAATCTAATTGAATAGATAAACCTATTAAGGTAGCGGTCAGGGAGGTGAGACGGGACGCAATGACAGGTGTAGTGGAAGAGTCACATTCGTAGTCATCAGTGCGATGGAGGAGTTGCACACCCAATTGAGAGTGAAACCATTCAGTTATAAGTATTAGCTTATCGTTGGTCGATTTGTAATGAGGAAGGCCTGACGTCGCTGGAGGAGAAGTGACTAAAGGTGAAGCAAGGTGAATCATCCATTGTTTCAGAGCTAAGAGAGATGCGAGATTGTTTTCGTTTTTGAAAAAAACCCTAGCTAAAATGGTCACAACGATTTTGTGGAATTTAGTATTTGGTGATGTTTTGGGATTTTGTTGTGCGAGAAAAGACGAGTGGTTATGATATTAGGGTTTTTTGGGTATTGATCAGTGAGGAGAGGGAAGAACGATGGAAATAATGCAGAGGATGAACGAGATGTTTGATGATACTGAAGATGAAGGTGAGGGACCTAGGGCTTTTTCTTGCTAAGTAGAAGAGGCGGGGGGATTAATTTTTAGGGTTCAATAGGTGGGGGTAATTTTCATCGATTTCATTTCCCGCCTAAAACGCGTGTTTCACTTAAAAATTATAAAGCGACACCTTTAAATGACGCACATTTTATGAAAGGCGCCCTCCGCATTTCTTATTTTTCTTTTCTGACACTAATTTTAGGGCGCGCACAAATGCGTGCCCTCTATCTTTCAAATTTTGCAAAACTGACATTATCTTTTAGGGCACTTGCAAATGCGCGTTGTCTATCAGCGAGTGTCATTGTTTGCGCGTCATTAAAGGGCTATTTTCTTGTAGTGAGGCATATCAGTCATATTAGTATGGTTAATAGAACTCACATGGATAAAACAATGAGTGAATTACTAAGTAATGTACTTCTCTTAAAACAGTAAGAAAAGATAATTACATCCTGACCAAATATACCTTCTGTAGTTTTTACTTACAATAAAAGCTACATATCATGAAATCAAGTATGGTAAATATACTTGTACTTCCGTTTTTGAACATTTAAAACCACAAGGCAGTATTATGGATAATATAATATTTTCCAAGATTAATACTAAGGTTTTTACCATAGAACATATATAACTAAGAATACTTTTACAAATGAAACAGTTTATGGAATTAAACCACTCTTTCAAAAAAAACGGGTTATGGGATTTAACCACTTATACAAAGGAAACGGTTTATGGGATTTAACCACTTACACAAAGGAAACAGTTTATGGGATTAAACCCCTTTTACAAATGGAACGGTTATGGGATTAAACCACTTTTACAAATGAAACGGGTTATGGAATTAAACCACTTATCAAATGGAACTTAGTCATTCAATCTCTGTAAACTAGTAAAACATAAAAGACCTTTAGTGGTTAATTCTATAAGTCCTTAGTTATTACATCAGAGTATATATAAGTAATATCCGATTGAAAGTGAAATGTGTGACTTCCGCCTTACTTCCTGTTCCTTGTTTGGTTATGGGCTTAGGGCAGATACACCCATTTAACTGTCAATTCGATATTAGGTTATACATAATTAGTATAAACTAAGTAATTATAGAGGGAAACTATTGACGTTATCAGTTTATCACCTCAGGAAATATAGGATTTTCTGGAGGAACCAGTGAACTTTTCCAAAGAACCTAGAGTATACTTTTACAGAACTAAAATACTTATGAACTCACCATCTTAAATGCTGATCTATTCTTTTCAAATAACTTGTATTCTCAGGAATCCGGTAGACAGGTACACTCCCGAAGCTCTTGAGAAGACTACCTAGTATAGTACCGCGACTCTTGTCTTCTACTTTACCTACTTTGGTGTTTGAATATGTAATGTTTAAACACTTATGTAAAACTTATACTTATTAATGCAATGGTTGTTTGTACTTGGATTACTATATTGCATGTGTTGTGATACTTACATGAAGTCCTCCGCCCCCGAACGTTTCCGCCGTTCTGGTTTGGGGGTGTGACACCATTGCTATTAGGAAATACTCTACTCATCCTTTCTTTTGGTTTAAGGAATAACCTTCATATCTATGCTCTAAGTGGAACTTTTCCCCGTAAACATTCTGGTATTGCAAGTACTATCTTACTAGTTCATTATGCTATCAAAATTTCCCTCTGTTGGTATGTTGTAGACCTACTCTTACGTCAAAATTTCCGAACTCTGTGTAGTCTTAATACCAACTATAGTGATAACAATCTTATTTCAGTTAAAGATCATTATTATCAAAAAAAAATCTAGATCAGTAACATGCAGACTAAGTAACTCTTTCCAAGTCATACCACTTCATATTTAAAATTTATAACTAAGAATGCCACCTCACAAATGTCTCGTTAGAAATTCATTCAAGAATAACCACTTTGAATCCAAAAGTTTATTTCATATAGACTTCCTTTGTGGATAGTTATCATGACCTTATAGATGTCGGATTATAATACTCTCGGAAAACAGTATAACTTAGCTTATTTAACACTTATGCAATATACAATTGTCATGCCACAAAACCTTGTCTTCACAAGGAGGAAAACAACCAATTGGTGAGACACCAATTCTGCAGATATACTTTGCTACATTTTAGGCCACGGTCATAGCCGCCGTGATAGCTGTCATGGCGCAATTCAATGCCAACAACCCGAATGAGAATGGAAACATTTTCAACACTTCAAACCGTGGTAACACACAAGGAGATCGACAAGGACCTAGCCATGATGATACTTCAGCTTCCAAACTTAAGAATAATAAACGAAAATTCTTGAACAAAAAGGAGCACACGTTATCTCAAAAACTTGCCAAGAGACAACAACCTGTGGCAACTTCTACAGCCATGACATCTACCACTCCAGTACCAATGCCAGTACGACAATATGCTGGGAATCTACTGGATTGCAAGAAATCAAACTTCCACCACTTAGGAAAATGTCTCAAATTGCGATGTAAGAACTGCAACAGACACGGACACACCACTCGCTTCTGCAAGTCACCGACATTATCAATCCCCCAAATTATTGGCGTTGAAGTGAGTCAGGTTGGTTATAGTTATGGCGAATCTGGACATTTCAAAAGAGATTGTCCAAGGGCTAAAAATGGCAAAGAATCTTGTTTCTGTAGGACCCCGACTCAACACATCACTTCAACTACTGATGCTAGTATAATTCGAGTATGCCATACATGTGGTGGAATGGGGCATTTCAAGAGAAACTGTCCGATGGAGAGAAATAATGGAGGAGAAGGAAGAGTGTAACAGCATGACATATAAGAGCAACGAGGAAAACTTCTATATTAATATTAATATTTAGGGCAGAGTCACCTAGTCGACCGTCTTATTCATCTTAATTATACATAACTTGTATATGCCAAGCGATCATAGAGGTACCAAGAAGAATCATAATATAAGGTATCATCACTAGTCACCAAGCATTTTTACTACTAGAACTCGCTTCTCGCAAGTACGATTTGTGGCAGTGGTTCTATCGAGAAAACAATATAAAGCCTACACATATTACACTGTCAAGCACACTCCAGATACACCATTATTATAATAGACGTTTCTTTCAAATCGACCTAACACTTGTTTCTATAAAGAATCCGACGTCGTCATTCGACATGGATTAATGTGGTCCTCACCATACCAAGTCCGTGTGTTACGAAAACCCACCACTTTAACTGACCGATTATCGAGACCCTTGTTACTCGTAACGACAACCCTACATAGATCTCTGAATCGCCTCTCCCGTATTCTAGACACCAAAGTACTCAACCGAGGAGTACCATACCCTCCGAAACCTTTCCGAAGTATACCCAACAAACTATCCGAAACTACCAACTCGTCCGATTAATCTAGTACAAGCATGTAAACTAACACAAATTCATATTCAAGAGGTAGTCCATCTGCATGTTGTGCCCGTTTCCACTATCTTCGGCCAGGATAGCAGATTCAGCTTGATATTTTGGCAGTCACTGCAGAAAGCTCTTGGAACTAAGCTGGATATGAGCACAACTTTCCACCCACAAACAGATGGACAGAGTGAGGGGACCCTTCAGACATTGGAAGACATGTTGAGAGCATGTATAATTGACTTTAGTAAGTCGTGGGACGTCTATTTTCCCTTGATTAAGTTTTCCTACAACAACAATTATCATACCAGTATTAAGGATGCGACTTTTAAAGCCCTTTATGGTCGTAAGTGCAGATACCCTCAGTGCTGGGCTGAGGTGGGTGACACGCAGTTAGCCAAGGCACAAGTCCTCGACAACACTCCCTTAGCCCCAAAAATCATCCGTGAAACCACAAAAAAGATCGTACAAATCCAGGAACGACAAAAGGCTTCGAGAGATACACAAAGAGCTACGCCAATAAGAGACGAAAACCCTTGAAGTTACAGGTTGGAGATCGTGTTCCATTGAAGATCTCACCCTAGAAAGGCATGATACGCTTTGGAAAGCGTGCAAAGCTAAATCCAAGATGCATAGACCATCTGAGATCCTTTCTAGGATCGGTCCCATAGCATACAAAGTTCTTTTACCACAAGAGCTTAACAACATTCATCCTGTCTTCCACGTCTCAAATATTAAAAAGTGTTTATCTGACGAGACCCTTGTGATGCCTCTCGATGAGACCGAGATCAATGAGAACCTTAACTTCGTGGAAGATCAGACGAAATAGAAATATTCGCACCTCTTTCCGAGTCCATGATTTGTATTCTATGTTTGAATTTCGGGATGAAATTCCATCTAATGGGGGAATGATGTGACAACCCAAAATTTCTCTTTTGTATAAGCCATTAAATTCAATCAGATTCAAACTCGTTTCTACTGTCTTTTAGCCTTGTTTAGGACCTGTTTGAGTGTTCTAAGGTTAGTACAATCAAGGTTTGGGTTCAGAGATGAGTTATTCTAAGTCATAACGTAGCATTCAGGCCTAACACTCCTTCGAGAGGAGTGTACGGCCGTACACATGAGTGTACGACCGTACACATAGGTGTACGGCCGTACACTCCCCTCATGGTCGTACACTCCCCCTCTATAAGGGGTACTTAGCCATCATTCATCACTTTACACACTTTCAATTCTAGAACTATCTCTCTCTCTTTCTCTCTATTCTCTCTCTCTCTCTCTCTCTCTCTCTCTCTGCCTTTATCAAGTTTTCATCAAGATCTTCAAAGATGTAAGTGTTTCCCATCTTGAATTGTTGCTACATTCCTT